GCCGCATGCGTGCGGGCTCACCCGTGCAGACAAGCAGCCCCACGGCCGTTTCACCGTGGGACGGAGGCGACGAGGTGGCTGCAGAGGGCAGAGATGGCTGCTTGGGGCATTATATTTACAGGGAAACGTATTCAAGGAAACGAACGCCATAATGTTACCTGAGAGCCCAGGCGGGAAGGCCCAGGCCGGTAGGGCCCGGGAGGAGCTCAGGCCGTGGGTGGGTGGGTCCGGTCGCCAGGCTGGGGGTCACCCCCCCACCCCGTGCCAGCGCTGCCGCTCCCCAAGGGGGGCCAGGCCGGCTGCCCCTCCTCCCCCCAGTGACGCCGTGCAGGCTCACTCTGGCCCCGCGCGTCTCCCCGAGCAGCCTGATTCTCATCAGGTGGGCAGACCCGCAGGCGCAGAGGGCAGGCCGCGCCCTCCGCCGGACCAGGGCGAGGGGACACGCGTGTCCTGCTCCTCACCGGGCTTGCGCTGCAGGAAAGGATACCGTTACCCGGCTGGCCTGAATCCTGTGAGGTGCCCGCCCCCTCCTGCGGTTTCTGTTAAATTCTCCCCTTTTTTTTGGTTCCTCTTGGAGTGATGAATCTCAGCGTCCTATGATCTCACAATTAGAAAAGACAGCCTTCCTAATTTAAAAGACGTCTGAACTACTCTGTCGTATGTGACTTGGTTGTCCTAGGAGTTACGAGGGTGTGCAGTGCACACGCGTGTGCTGCCTGTCTCCAGAAGACAGCCGGGAGCCCTGGGAACCTCTCGTGTGGGTTTCTGCTTGACCGTGGCCCTCAGCGGGCCCTCGCTCTCCCGGCCCCTGAGCCTTTGCGGGGCGTGCGTGGGACGTCCGTGCTCTGTTTGAACGGGGACTTGCTTTCCATGAATATTTCATCACCTGGAGTACGTGCTGGCACCCGGCTTGTTGCAGAGTTTGCATGAGGATTTCCATGACGCCCGGGGCCTGGTTTGTCTGCGGAAATGCAGGCTCAGTGTTCAGGTGGGAGGTGTGGGGAACGGGGCTCAGCGGAAGTGCTTCTTCCGGAAAGCAGCTGCTGGATGGGGCCTGGGAGGCTTGATACACGGCGTGCCCTTTGCGATTTCATGAGGCAGTTGCCAGGCCTGACAGGACGTGCCTCTGTGCCAGGCAGGCGCCTGCCTCCGTCTTTCCCTGGACGAGGCCTGCAGCGGGCACTTTGGCCTGGGACCTCATGCGCCTCAGCCGCGCAGCCACGGAGGACTCATCATCCTCGAGCCTGCTTTCCGCCTGAAAGTTGGGGGGATAACCATTGCTTCCAAGCCTGACCCACAGGGAGGAGGGCCCAGGGCTGGGGCTCTGGCTGCCGGAGGCAGCTGTCCGCGTGGGATCCGAGGGCCCTGGCCCACCTCGCTGTCTCCCAGACTCTTCTGCTCCTTTCCAGCTCCTGGCGGGGCGGGCCGGCTCCTTGGCAAGGACAGGACGGTAGCTGCTTTGTGCGCATGGGCGTGTGGCCTCTGCGGCTGCGGAGCAACAGTGCTCACAGCTGAGTCCCCGGCCGGAACAGAGGCGGCGGCTCTCTGGCTGTTGCTGACCAGCCCTGGCCCGTCCGGGCTGTGTTGGAGATGTCCGCTGACTCCCCTGAACGGAGGAGCCTTCCGACCCAGTGGACAGGAGGGTCTGAGCCCGGCTGGCAGCGCTTCCCTGGAGAGCCTCCCTCTGCAGACCGGCCCAGGCCCCGCCGCCCAGCCCCTGGCTGCGCCAATTCCGCCCTTTCCTGACAAATTGCTAAATGCTCCACTTTCTGCTCTAACAAATGAGGCTTTATTTTTCTTGCTGCTGGAAATTTAAAAACTGAAATATAGCAAGCGGAGGGGACGCCTTACAAGAGCTTGGCCACCACAGCAGGGGTCGCCATGGCAACGCATCTTGGGGCTGAGCGTGTGCCGGGAGCTGATGCAGGAACAAAGCCGGTGACTCCCACAGCAGGGCTGTGCCTCCGTGGAAAAGCGCCCACTGTGCTGGCCGCGGCCAGGCCGGGAGAGGCAGCCAAGGGAGCGGGCCATGTGGGGGCGACCCCAGCGGGAGGTCGGGTCCGGCTGAGGCCTGCAGCCCTCGGGACGGGGCTTTGCTCCTGGGCCTGCTGCTGGCACTGCCCATGGCACTGGGTGTTCCCGTGTCATGGGTGTCACGCCGTCCCTTGCGGGCAGAGCACGGAGGCTGTGGTGCCCAGGGGGGCCTCGGACAGCCCGGGTGCCCGCCGTGCTCGGTGCTGATCCGATCCCAAGACAGGAGAGAAAACGACCCCCCCCACACACACATACCACACACTGCACACTCCACACCCCCCCACCACACACACACTCAGGGGTGGGCTTGATATTTGGAAGCACAGATGTCACAAACCACTGATGCTGGAGAAGGCCAGTAAGACCCGGCCCAGATCGGGGGAAGGTTTTACACCTGGAAACACGATACATGTTCTCTTGACTGAAGTGTGCTTCAACCGAGGCGATCCGGCCTCACGTTCGGCCACCAAAGCACACATTCCAGAAATGCGAAATATCCACGATAAACAGTTCTTTCCAATCACTCATCTTGGTTGCTTTCCTTCTCGTGAAAGCTCAGCCCGTGGTGCCGCGTGACTCAACGCGCCCCATCACAGGCGTGGGCGGGGCAGGGACTCGCAGGGCGGGCGGCGCACATCCTCGGCGGCTAGGACGGGGAGACCGTGGGCCCTGGCACGGAGCGGGAGGGACGGGGCGTCACTAGGGAGGAAATCGGCTCCGGACAACCCACAGCACTGAGGCAGCTCGATATTTTAAGTTTCTCACACACACGTGACCCTTACCAACAGTCTGTTTCTGGAGTGCTGAGGAACAACGGACACGCGCGAGTCTGTTTCAGGAGCGAGTCAGGGTTTGGGGTCTGCACACGCGGAGAAGCAATCACACGTGAGCGCAGCTGTGCCGTCGCGGACACTTGTGTTTCTCTCCTGGCGAGCCCCGGTCACCCCCCAGGCGCCTCCGTGTCTGGCGTAACCAGAGCACGATGTCCTCCACTATGCTGGATTCCTTGTTGCTGCGTCTTGGGGTTCGTCCACTTTTGGGGTGTATCTGTATTCGGTTCCATCTTATTGCTGGTTTTTATCACATTTTAGTCCATCGCGTGGCTGCCGTGCGTGGGTTTTGACTGGTCCAGGCAAAGCTGACACCGGGCTTGGCTGCAGGGTTTAACAGCCAGGGGTGCGGTTCCATTCTCTTGGGTAAATACATAAAGGTGGGACAGTGTCGTGTACACGCACTTACCTGCTTCAGCTTTTCCCGTGGAGACTCTGCCCAATTATCTCCCAAATGCTTGTTTGATTTTGCATCCCGGCCGCAATCCACGGGGGTTCAAGCTTCTCCCTCTTCCGACCAGGACCGAGTGCAACGGGCCTTCCGTGGCCACACGGGGAGTCTCCCCGACGGCCAAGGGGTGCCGAGTATCCTGTCCTTCGCTCCCTGCAGAAACCACACATCTTCTGTGGGTTAGTTCTCTCCCTCTCTTGCTGCGTGTGTAGGTGGATGGGCTTTTTGTTTTTAAGATATTTTTGTTCTTTACATGTTCTTCATATGAGTTATTTGCCAGACACAAATAATGTAAATATTTTCCTCTGTTCTTTGGCTTGCGTTTGCAGTTCATGCTCATTTGAAGAAAATTTTTAGCTTTGATAAAATTCAACTTATCGGGCCTCCCCGGGGGCGCAGCGGTTGAGCGCTGGGTTGCGAAGCTGCCCGCGGCCTCTGCGGCGCCGGTTCAATCCCCGGCTGCTCCCCGGCCACCGGAGGAGGGTCCCACATGGCGCGCAGACCTCTCCTGCCGCCCGCTGCTCCCCTCAGCAGTGTACTTCAGTCCTTCTGCCTGCTCTGCTCCCCGCTCTGGCTCTGGTGAATCCTCTCACCCTCCCGTGCTGACTGTGCCCAGTGCTTGTATAAATTAATTAATTAATCTTTTTTTTTAAAAAAAGTTCAACTTGTCCTTGTCTTTAGTTTTGGCTAAAAACCATCCTCCCGGCCCCCAGCCCCCAATAAACAGTGCTGAACAGGAACAGTGAGAGGGAACAGGTTTACTTGTTTCAAATTTTGGAGAAAAACATTTAATTTTTTGCCATTTGTGGAAGCGTTGGCCGCGGCTGTGTCCTAAGGGTGCTTTATGGGATTGGGAAATTTCCCTTGCAGCGCCGGCTCCATGAGCGATTTCCTCGCCCAGAAATGATGGATTTCGTCGGACTCTCTCCCTGCGCCGCTGAGAGACGCTCTGGCTGTCGTGCGCCGCCTGCTCGCCCGCGGGGCTGCAGGGGCGGATTCTGAGACGCCGGGCCGCCGCGCGTGCCTGGAGAAATCTTACTTAGACTTTTTTTTTAAGACTTATTTATTGATGCATACAAGAGCCGGGGTGCAGGCCAGAGTGGGGGCTCCCCCGGCCCGCGCGGACAGAGCTGGGGAGCGCGCCCGTCCGGCCGGCCCCGCGGGGAGGTGCGGGGTGCGCCGCGGGGAGCCCCAAGCTCACGGTTTCGGGGAGACCCTCCCGACGTGCGCGCGCCGGGCCACAGTCGGGGAGGCGGAGACCCTGGGCGCGCTCGGGCCGGTCCCCGCACGCCCGCCTGGCCCGGCCCGCCCGGCTCCTGTGGCCGCGGGGCTCGCGGCCTCCCCGGGCGGCCCCGCGGGCTCCGAGCAGCTGGCGGGGTTCACTGTCCACGTCGGGTGCTGGTCCAGCCCCGCCGCGCTGGCCGCTCCCGTGCCCCCCCGCGGCCCCCCGCCCGGGCGCGTGGACACCCCGCTCGGCCCCTGGACGCCGCCGGGGCGCGCCGCGAGGGACACGGAGGCCGCGAGCGACTCGTTCGTGTGCAGAGGCGGCCCCGGCCACCGCGCGGGCGGCTCCGGGCGGGAGCAATAAATACAGAGCGGGGGGGGGGGGGGGGGGGCCCTGCGCGCTGACCCGGCCCCGCGCCCCTCCCGTGCCCGCGCCGGGGGTGCCGCCGGGGCTGGTCCGAGCCGCCGCCCTCGCGCGCTCCGCGCGGCTCCTCCGTCCTGGCGGCGCTAGCAGCCGAAGGCGAGGCCTGCGGGAGACAAAGGGACACTCAGGGCCGGTCAGCGCCAGCGCCCACGCCCTCCCGCGGCCCGGCACGCGCCCCTGCGCCGGCCCTGCGGAACGTGCCCGCCTCGGGGCCTGAACCCCGCCCGCGCCTCCCCGGCAAGGTTGTCCCGGCAGGAGGGCGCCCGGGGGGCCTCCTGGCCCGCGGCTGCCGGGCCCTGCGCGTGTGGGCCGGGGGTGTGGGCCGGCAGGACTGCGAGGCTGCACAGCCCCCCGAGTCTGGACTGACCCCGCGCCCTCCACGCCTGCGGCTGAGGGTGCCCGACTGCGGGGCTCTGGAGAGCCGAGGGCCCGTCCATGCCGCGTGCAGGGGTCTGGTTCTGCCCGGGAAGCCCTGTCCGACTGGCTGGGGCCTCTGCTCCCCGCCCTGGCCCAGCACCCCTCACCTGGGCTCGCCAGGCTCGGCTGGGGGGTGTGGGGGCACGTGTGGATGGAAAACCAGCACAAACCGCAGTTTTAAGGCACCAAGCACGAGAACAGGAAGTTGCAGGTGCCAGGCTGGGCTGCCAGAGCTCCCGTCTCTGCACCAGCCTGGCCGCCACCCCGGCCAGCACAGCCCCGCTCTCTGTGTCGCCTGCACACCGTCCTGGCCCAGGTAACCTTCCCCCGCACAGGTGTCCTCTCTGGGAGCCGCGCCCCTGCCAGGAGGAAGCCTCACTGTCGTCGCCCCCACTCTGCAGGCCTGAACACAGACCGTGCAGGCCCCCATGCCAGCCGGACCTGGAAGGGAGTCCCGCTGCTACCCACTGGCCGGGGTGGCTGAGCTGCCCAGGGACAGCCAGGTGGCCAGATGGCCAGGTGAGCCAGGTGAGCCAGATGGCCATGTGGCCAGGTAAGCCAGGTAGCCAGGTGCGCCAGGTGCACCAGGTGATCCAGGGTGATCCAGGTGATCCAGGTGCGCCAGGTGCACCAGGTGATCCAGGTGCACCAGGTGATCCAGGTGATCCAGGTGAGCGCCTGGGTCTGGGTACACAGGCTGGCACTCTCCTTGACAGTGGCATGGGCCACTGTGTCCAAGATAACCACCTTGATGGGAGCCGCCTGGGTGCTCAAGGCACGTTTCTCCATAAGCGGCTCTCGGCCGGGCAGCGACTTTCCCCATGGCCGACAGTTCCGGTGTGGACGCCAGCCCAGGTCAGCACACGCTGCCTTCCCGGCGTGAGACTCTCTCGAAGGGGGTTGTCGGCGTCCAGAATGGCGACACGGAACGTTCTGACCACGACCCCCTCACAGCCCCAACGGGTTCTACGTGAGCGGTCCTTACGGAGAGGAAGTGTCACTGCTGTGACGGCCCCGCGGCTCCCGCCACACACAGCGGCCTCGGGGGAACGGCCGTCACATCCCGCCAAGCTTATCAAGGGATTTCTTCAGGGCCACAGGCTAGGATCTGAAAGTCCCCTCTACTCGTGAGGTCTTCTTCCAAGCCTCTAGTGTTTCATTTTAACACACAAGAAAAAGAAAAGCACGCGAGCCTCGGCGGGAGTCCACAGCTCGCTCTGGGATGATCTGGGTGATGTCTGGAGAACGGCAGCGGCGAGGTGAGCCGTGGCAGAGCAGGCGAGGGCCCACGCCGGCCCACGGCGGGGTGGGGACACGGACGCAGTGATGGCCGCGCCTCCAGAGCCACCCCAGCCCCGTCAGGCAGAGCCCAAACACCAGCAAACCCTGAGCGTGAGGCCGCGCGATCCAAGTGTCTGTGCCCGCCGGGCGAGCACCAGACCAGCCTCTCTGCCCAGCCCTGGCTGAAGGCTCACGCCGCTGAGACTGGCCGGGCTCCCTGAGCCGAGCAGAGGCTGGCACGGGACTGGCTGCGATCCAGCCTGGTCGCGACGCCGCGTCTTTGCGACAGTTTGAGGCCTCAGTTGCTCACCGGTCACGGTCACGACCAGGAGGTCATCGTTCGCCTCGGCCCCGCCGGGAGCTCGGGGCTGTCGCTGGCTGCTACACACCCACAACCGGGCCTGTGTGGCCGGGGCCTCGGCGCCCACCAGGGTACCGTGAGGTGGCCTGTGCGAGTGCTGTGAGTGAGCCCTGCCCCGAAGGGACAGTGCATCCGGGACAGAACCACGGGGGAGGCCTGGGCCCTCCCGGCTTCTCAGGCCCCGTCCCAAGGCTGTGGGGACGCGACACCCACGTGCAAGGTGGCTGCTGTGCAGACCCTCCTGGCAACGCCCTGCACACGCGGGCACTGGCCTGTGGCCCCGCCTGTCAGCCGCAGGGCCGTCCAGCTACTGCGGCGGGTCCTGCCCAGGTGGGCGAGGGCACCCGGGGAGGGGCGCAGGGGGGGGCTCGGGACCCTCAGTGTCTGTCCACGGACCTGGCAACCCCGGCGCCGCTGGCACGCCCTGGCTCTTTAGCTCGTGAGCGTCTCCCGAGACCGACGCGCAGCCCAGGACGGATGCCCGAGCGCCCCGCGGAAGGGACGGACACGTACGTGCTCACTGCCGGGGCCTCCCGCGTCAGGTCCTGCTGGTCCCGCGCACAGGACGCCCACCTGGAACAGAGACGCGTGTGCGTTCATGAGCTCGGGGTGAACGGGCGAAAACCGGGTTTCCCGCTCTCCGCCTGTCGAGGAAAGCCCAGGCTCCCTGCGAAAGCGTCCCTAGAGGCACAGTCTGCTCCTGGTGGTGCCTGGAAGTTGCTCTGCGAGGCCTGTGAGGACTGGGCAGCCGCGGCTATTTGCACCCCGGTGGGGAGGGCGGCACAGCCATCGCCCTGGGTGGGGAGCCAGGCGGGGTGACCATAAAGGCGCCGTGGGCCCCGCGCTGCCCGCCTGCCCCGTGAGCGGCTCTGCTGGCCCACACATGTCGCGCACCCCAAGTGCTGCCTTTTCCGGGACATTCTGGGGCAAGTTGTTCCGTGAGTTTTGTGGAAAGGAATTTCCAGCATTTTGGTGGCGTGCCGGGGCTGTGAGCCTGGCGGGGTGGGGAGGTGAGGGGCACCCAGCCTCTACGCAGGCCCTGGGGCTCACGGTCCGTTTCCTGTTGCTCAGTCTTTCAGGGAAGCTCGCGCGCCGGCCAGCATGTCCTCTCTGAGATGACGCCACTGTTCTGCGTCCACGTGTCAGTCAGAGCCGGCCTGTCTCCCCGAACCCCCATTCGCCGCACGCACAGTCATGGAGATCACACACGGCCGGGGACCAGCAGCGCAGGCCCAGACCCGCCGGCGTGCAGGTTCTGGCTCCAGGAACGTGGCACAGCCCCCCCACCCCACGCAGCCCCGAGCTCCGCCCGCAGCCCATGGCGAGGCAGGGCGGCGCAGAGACGGGCCAGGAAGCCCTCAGTGAGCTCCTGCTGTTCCCACAGCCCTGCAGAGCCGGCACGACCTCCCAAAGAGCACACTGACTCGAGCGTGAAGACCAGAGCGTGTGAGCTGACGTGCTGGCCACGGTAATCACCCTTCATGGACCCGTAGTGCAAGCTGCACTTTGTCGCCCACGCACACACGTTGATTTACACCGTGAGGCTCAGGTGTGAAGGCAACCGTCCTCAGTGCTGAGCGGTGGACCGCACAGTCCCTGGGCTCGCTGCACTCTGAAAATCGCTTTTAAGCCCCCACACAGAAGACAGTGGGGAGCTGGCGAGCTCCGTGAACGCACACCAGCCCCCCCAGGTTAAGTCTAGTTACAGCGCGGGAACACATGCAAGAGCCATTTCAATGAAAATAATGGCGGTCATCTAACTTTTGCTGAGTATGGTGCGCATGGTTGTATAAAAATAAGCGTATTTTCACATTTACATGATTAATTCTGACTGCTGGAACCCAGCGTGCACCGCCGATTCTCGTGTTGCCCTGTCACGAGCTACACCCCATGCTGATCCGCTGGCTGGACTCGTGAGAGGTGGTTTTACCACAGAGGTGAGGCTCCTGGAGCGAGACTGGCAGCCATAAAGTACCAGGGAGCAGACCTCATTACTTTCGCACTATTTCTTCCTTAGGCCTATGACTGAAAAACCGCTTCTGAAGCACAGGACGCCTGGCCAGGGACGTCTCCCCACTGCCCGCACGCGTGCACCCCGCGCAGGCTCTGGGGGCGGGCTCGGGGGCGGGCTCTCTGGGTGGTGCTGTGTCGTGTTCTAGGTGCTGCCAGGTGCTGCTCTGCTTCTCCAGGGGATGCCACAGGAGACCCATAAGCTCGTGACATGACACAACACACATGATACAAGTGTCCCTTACGCAGACTTGTCCCGGGCCTTAAAGCCTCCTCCATGAAATCCGCAAGCCCAAAGCGGAGGCCTCTGTGGCTCCCAGTCCAGGGCGAGCTGTCGGTTCCCTGCCGGAAGGGGTGGGATGGGAGAGCTGGCCCCCCTTCCTCAGCAGGAGAACCGAGGGCTCCCCGACAGAGGCTCCCTTCAGGCCTCAGCACAGGCCCCAGCTGGAGGCCCAGGGAGCAGGCGTCTTTACATTCCCGGGAGAGCGAGGACGCCGGGAGGTGACTGCCCTGCCTGCTTTGGCCATGGCAGGCCCGGGGCCCCTCCAGGATGACGGGGCACTCAGGGCCGCCGGCACCTGGCTTGTGTGCAGGCTGCGACCTAGCCCTGGCGGTGCCTATACTCAGCCAGGCTCGGTGAGGGAGGCGCCGGGGGCCTGTGAAGCTCTCTCGGCCCGGGATGAAGGCTCCTCTCGGCCGGTGCAGAGACGTGCACGTCGGGTCTCAGAAGAAGGTCTCACAAAAGCAAGTGGCTCGTGTGTGGGGTTCGGGAAGTCTGGGAGCCTGCTGTAAGCTGCTCTTGTTTGAATTTCCTTTGATACCTTGCTCGTGAGTTGAGGTACCCTCTATAGCTTTTTGTTTTACAAAAGTTATTTTGACACGTTACGCTACAGCCGTCAGGTCACACGGCATGTATCGTGCGACTATTCCGTACAGGAGCAACGGGGGGGCTGCCGAGCACAGTCCCGCGTTACCGTGACTTGATATTTAATGTAGAGCGTCACAGAGCGTTTTGTAAAACTGACCATTACTGTGCACTTTTCTGCGCTGTGGTGTGAGTGTGTCAGATGCTTGGTCTCCTCGGAACGAGAGCAGGATGGGTCCTTTTTATTTTAGACGAGTATCCGAGATCCCATTTTCCGTTGCTCTTGGTACACAGGTAGCCATCCAAGTCCTGTGCCTGCCTGAGCGTGTCCTCTGCACTCGGCAGTGCAGGGAAGGCCGCCTGCCACCCCGTCTCTGGAAGGCTCTGCTTACCACCTCTGAAACCCGGGTACCCCAGGGCGCACAGGGGCATTTCTAGGGCTCACCTTTCCTCCACGGGAGGATTTTTAACTTCTCAGGAGCTACTCTCCGCGCGTGTCTACAGAAGTTCTATGTTTCATATGTTTAACACGAAGAGAATCCAAGCGAGGTTTTGCAATAACAAGTTTTCATCTAATCAACGATTTGGGAACTTACCAGATTCGTGAGAAATTGTCTTGACAGTGAGAAGCTTCACACTTTCTTTCTCAGACGGCGGCCTGTTCGGGACGGAAGACGTGGCATGAGCGTTGTCTGTGCGCGAAAGCCAACGTGCCGGAGCAGAAGGAAGGAGACCCGCGCGCGGGGTGTTTTGCGTCTCTGGGGACACACGACACACGGACACACAGACTTTCACGCGCTCTTCGGAACCAGGTCCGCGAATCTGTCTGCCCCAGCGGTGGGGATCGCCGCCCGCACGCGTGCTCCCGCCCTTGGCTGTGGGGGCGCAGGCAGCCTTCGCACCGGGGCTGCACCCGGGGCTGCACCCGTCCCCGGAGGCTTGCCCAGGAGGACAGAATTGCGCGTCGTGGCTGCAGAGTTAAGCCCCGAGCTTCGGCCTCTCCCTCCTCAGGACCCAAACAGTTTCAAATTCCAGCTCCTTCCCCCGGCACCCCCAGAGCCTCTATTTCTCCCCGGGAAGGGCAGGTGACCTAGAAACTGGGTTTTAAAGCTCCCCATGTGACGAACACGGAGACAGCGTCTACACCAAGGAAGAAAACTTAGCACGGAATTGCTTGGATGCCGAGACAGAGTCTCCGCGGGGCTCCGGACTGCGCCCGTGGGGGGCCTGCACACGAGGGCGCCCCTGCCCCCCGGCAGGCAGGGTCGCGGGGCTGGGGCCTGGCCGTCTCGCCCGCTCTGGAGACGTGACACACACCTGAGCGCCTCACTGGGAAACGACTGCCGAAATCCACATTAAGAAATCTACACGCAGAGAACGAGGTGATTTTCCACCCTTGTCTCTGCGCGTCCTCTCTGGAGTTCTCATTTTACCACCTGATCCGGGCTCCAGAGCGACTGTTTCTGGCTGTTGAAATCACTGTCTGGCGCTTCCTGACACGAGGGTTAGTGCCTGCCTGTGCGAACAGAAGGGTCAGGGCTTCTGGAGGAAGAACGACGTGGCCGTACTTACTGGTCGTTCCCGCTGTCCGGTGGACCTAGGAGAGAACCGCTGTGGTCAGAAGTGCAAGGACCTTGGCCACGAGACACCAAGAGGACCCCCCGGCACGTCTGCACGGGCTTCACGCCCCCCCCCCCCATTTAAGTGCACAGCTGGGCTGACCTTGCCGGGCCCCTTTGGGCAGTTTCTGGCTGGTTCTGCCCAGGGCAGCACCGCTGTGGGCATCCGTAACCTACACTGCCTGTCCACGGGCACCAGAAAACGTCAGTCCCTGTCAGTGTCTGAACAAAACTCTCCCCGAAGCACTCAATGACCGCTGGCTCAAGGCCCTGGGGCCGCTGGTTTGGCCGTCGGGCAGCCACGGCAGGTGCTCCGGGGCCGGCAGCATCCAGCGGGCGCTCGGAACAGGCCGCCAGGGTGGGCCGCTGACTCTGGGGCATCTGTGCCCTGTTCTGCTTCCCTGGGGAGCGCTCGGATACCCGTAGCGCCCCCAGACAGACCCATTTCCTGCAGAAACCTGGGGTTCCTGCTGACTCCAGGGGCGTGCGGTGCGGCCGTTCTGGACCTAATGAAGCCTCAGCCACGGGCCTGAAGAGCCATTCACTGCGGGTGTTTAATGGCTTAATTTAATGACAACACCGCTGTAAATTGTGTCTGGAAAACAAAGTGACAACAGCGGCGTAGACGTGGCTAATTGTCCCTCTGCCGCACTTGGAAACAACGCGCCGCGCGTCTCCGGGGTCCCTGCGCAGTGCCGAGGGTTCTGCACCTTCCCCGCGGCCTGGCCCGCCCGAGAGCCCCTTTCGTCAGAAACGTCCACTCTCCCAGCAGCTTCGCCGCGACGCTCCCAGTGCAAACCTCTCCATGTCTCAGGACAGGGCACTTTTATAAAAGAAGCTCACACTCATTTGTACTTATTTTATATAACATTAACACCCACGGGCTTGATTTCCCATAAAAGACAGAGCTGGCGGTGTAGGAACTGGGAGAAATTAAACCGATTTATAAAAACACCATTTCCCCGCTGGGACCTAAGGAGACGCGTTTAATGCATTTCACACGTTATGGAGACGTCCAGTCGCTGAGTCCCGGGGGGAGGTCACGGTTCTCTCCTCCACCCCCAAGAGCCAGGCTGGGCAGGGGGATTTCTCCGCCAGTCCCTGCCGTGGGGGAAGGTGGAGGGAGCTGTCGGGTCAGGACCCAGACAGGGCAGCACCCGACAGGGCAGGACCCGACAGGGCAGGACCCGACAGGGCTCCCCAGCAGAGCTCAGCACAGCCCTGGGGGAGGCCTCCCCGGGAGGGAAGAGCTGGGGACACCTTCCTGCCATCAGCCCCCAGAGGAAACTCTTGGCCAGACTCCCCTTTATTCTCTGGAAGTGGGGGCGGGAGGGAAAAGGCCCACCAGAGACCAGCTGGGCCATTATACACCCCCTTTCCGGCCGGATCCCTCTAAGCACCCTAAGGTGGACTAACTGGTTCAAAAGAATCGGCCTCATCTGGGGTCCGGTCCTGCCTGCCCCGGGCTCCCTGCTCCGCCCTCTGTGCTTGTGACCACGCGAGGGGCATGTCCTTCTCTCTAGAACAGCCTCTTCCCTGCAGAGTTTACCTCAAGAGAGGCAGAGCATGTGCTCCTGGTTCAGAGAGGCGGCACCCCAGCACCTCACCTACCCGGGTCTCGCCTCCGGCACACGCGGTACAGGCCCACCAGCGCGAACACCGACAGAGTCATCACGATCAGGGCGATGACCACCGGCAGGACCACGCCTGGAGGGGGAGACAGGGTCAGAGGCCCGGGGCCCTGCTCGCCGCCCCCCCAGCGCTGTCGCGTCAGATGGTGCTGCAGCCGGGAGTGTCGGGCCGGCTCCCGCGGGTGCCGTATCCCACACGTCCACTTGGTGTCAGTCTTGCAGCCCTTCTGGAATGAGGTCCCGCCTCAGGGAAGGGGTTCACTGCGGCCTCTTCCCGGCGGGGAGGGCCGGACGAGGGCAGGGCGGCCAGCAGCTTGGCCGTGTGCACCGGCCTCCTCGGCCCTTGGGGGGAAGCTGCTGGGGAAACACGGAGTAGCTGCTCTAGAACGCGCACCCGCCATGCCTGCGCAGGCTGCAGGAGGCCTCAAGCCCCGCGGTGCTGTAAGTGGACCTGGTGTTGGCGTGGCCTCCAGGCGTGCAGCTGAGACGTGCCCACGCGTGTGTGTGTGCACAGCGGCTGCTCAGTGAGCCAGGCTGAGTCCTGGATGCTTTTACTAAAAGGAGGGTTTGTTTGTTTTTCTCTGTAACACTGGCCACCTCCCTGACGGCCACGCCAGGCGGGTGGCCAGCTGCGACGGCAGGGACAAGGCAGGGACATGCCCGGCACGTCGGGCCGGCAAGGAAGGTGGGCCAGGGGCAGGCAGCATGGCCCTGCGTTTGACCCAGGTGGGGTCAGTGCTGCGGGTCACAGGAGCCCCCGTGTGAGCTCATCCCCCTCCAGGGCAGGCGCCGGAGTCCAGTGCGGCCGCACCCACCTCTAGGGAACCCGCGTCATCCGGGCCTCGCAGGTGCACACGCCAAGCACATGCTTTGGTAGGATGGGACGTTTCTAAAAAACTTGTTTTAACTTCTGGAGAAAGTTCCAAGGGGCCCCCCTCCCATCTCCACGGGGATCCCCCGCGCTGGGCTTGGCGCAGACCCAGGCTTCCCACCGGGCGAGGCGGGGCGGGCTCAGGACGGGGCCAGGACGATGACCTGGGCAGGGCCTGGCCCCAGCAGGTGCGGCTACTCACTGGAGTACGAGGGGTTCGCAGAGGAGGAGCTGGCGTTGCTGGGGTTCTCGGTGCCCCCCACTGCAAGAGAGAGACAGGGGTGCCTTGGCTTGGCGTGTCCCCCAGCCCTGGGCCTGCCCAGAGGTCTCCGAGACTCGCACCCCATGGGGCCAGTCTGTGGGGGCGGCCAGGGCGTCACCTCATGGGGAGCTTCCAGAAGCTTCCTTGTGCCCACCCCCCTTCTGGAGGTGCGGTTTTTCATGTAACAGCTACACCATAGTAAATAAGGCTGGTTAACAACATTGGCAGGGTCTCCTGGGTGGGGGGTCAGGCAAGGCCACTCTCCGAGCGCGGGGAGGAGGTACCTGCAGGCTGTGAGCTGGTGTCCAGAGCTGTCGCCGCCGTCCCGGGGGGGGTGCTGGCTGTGGGCGCGCCCGGCTGCAGGGTGCTGGCTGTGGGGACCACAAGTCCAGAGTCAGGCTGCAACAGAATCACTGCTCCCGGATTTTTAAAATATACTCAAACAGTTTGCATTTCTGAAGATCTCTGAAAACCGTTTGTTACTGAATAAGAGGGTGTCCACGCGTGCAACTCTGACTCATGGATCCGCGCTCCCTTCTGGAAAGAGGATTCCATTGTGTGTCTTCAAGAACTGGCTCAGAAAGCCTGGGTTAGTCTCTCCTTGCAGGCAAGTGTGTGATGTCTTGTGGGGTGAACCCCATGTAGAAACAGCACCCACATGTCACTTAACTTTGGGTCATAGTGATTTTTTGCCACTACATATCCTAAAAATGGGCAGCAAAGCACAGGACTTCAGATTTTATACCGTGTGTGTGTGTGTGTGTGTGTGTGTGTGTGTGTGTGTGTGTGTGTAGAAAAAGCTTGCAGTTACAGCTTTGGCAAGAAGATGGGCAGGGCACAGAGGAGCCCCCTTCACTGCCAGCTCTGAAGCCTGACAGGTTCACCAGTGTCTTATCCAAGCTGCTGCTCGGATGTCCTTACAAAGGGGAGGCTTATTTTTAAATTTATTATTTGTGGCTTAAGTCAACATTTGCTGTCTGAAAACAGAGGGGTAAAACAAAAAACTACAAATGAAATTTTGTTGCATTCGAAATCCATAGAACTCAGTAAGTTGCAATAAAAATACATGATTGTTTTATAGGCTTACTAATTTACAGCACTTATTCTTGTGAATCTAGGGTAAAATAAATTTGTATTTAGTTTTTTTTTTTTTTTTTTTTGAGAAAGCGCCGTGTTTCTCCTGCTGCAAGAGGGATCTTCTCACGCCTCCGTCCAGTCTCCCTGCTGAGTGGCAGTTCCGGGAGCCGGGTCATGCTGCCCACTGGCCAGGGGTGAGTGCCACCTGCTGATGGAGGCGTCTCCTGCAGCCCTGGCCCCCCGGGTGCACCCAGGTCCACGCTGTACCCACACGCTGAGAGCTGCCTTGGTTCCCCCCCGCCGAGCCACCCACAGCCCAACATGCACCGAACACGCAGGCATTTCTGACATCTGTGGGGGAAGAACAGTGTTTGTCGTCGGTACTGTTCTTGCCAGGCAAGAGGGCTGTGGGAGGAAGCTAGATATATGCCCGTAAGAACAAAGAGAAATGTCAGGCTGGTGCACCAAGCTGGAGCAAAAGGAATATTAAACGAAAGAGTGGGAACTGCCAGGAACCCGGGCACCTTTGGTTGCTTTTGCGTCCCGGGGTTTCAGCGAGGATGACCGCTCTCTCGGCTGGCTGGTGAAGGCAAAGCTGGCTGGGTGAATAACCAATGACCTTAAGCCACCTGGGATTCCACAGCCCCTCCTCTTACCTTCTCACAGACAAGCTGACAGGCAGCTTCAGCTCTGAGGATGACCCATCTGGTTCAGATGAGCTCTTCCTACTGCAAAGCATGTGGATGTGTTGATTTTTCACACCAATTGTTGTTGCTAATAATCCATAGGTAGACAATAGAATTAACCCTTCTTAAAAGGATTTATTGATTCCTTGAACAACCCCATTTACAACTGCACCAAAAAATAATGAAATACCTAGGGGTAAACTGAACAAAGGAGGTGCAGGACCTGTGCAATGAAAACTATACAAGATTATTAAAGGAAATAGAAGAAGACACAAAAAAATAGAGAGTCCTGGGTAATGAATAGGAAGAATTAACATTACCCAAAGCAAATACAGATTCAATTCAACCCCCATCAAGGCTCCAAAAGCATTCTCCAAAGAAATAGAACAAACAACGTTGAAAGCAATCCTGACAAGAACAATCACAGTGATGTCAAACTCTCAGACTTCCAGCTATATAACAAAGCTATAAAGATCTAAGCAGTATGGTTCTAGAATAAAAACACACCGACCAATGGACCAGAATTGAGAGCCTAGAAATAAACCCACACATCTACAGACAGTTAATCTGTAACAAAGGAGCCAAGAGTATACACTGGAGAAAGGAAAATCTCTTCAACAATTGGTGTTAGGAAAACTGGACAGTCGCATGCCAAAGAATGAAACTAGACCCGCACCTCACACCTTACATAAAAATTCAAAATGGATTAAAGACTTGGATGTAAGACCATAAAATACATTGAAGAAAACAGATAAAACACTCCGCAATATCAGCTCGGTAATGAGTTTGTGGATTTTCTCCAATGACAAGAAAAACAAAAGAGAATAGACACCAGTGGGACTACATTAAACTAAAAGCTTTTGCACAGTGAAAGAAACTATCGGTAAAACAAAAAGACATCCAAGTGAGTGGGAGAAAACACTGCCATGTCATGCTTCGGACAAGGGTCTGATATTCAAGATCTAAAAAGAGCTCCCACAATTCAACAACAACATACAACTCGGTCAAAAAAATGGGGAGAAGATCTAAATAGACACTTCTCCAAAGAAGACATGCAGATGGCCAACAGACACGGGAAAAAATGTTCATCATAACTTATCATCAGGGAAATGCAAATCAAAACCACAATAGGATACGGTATCACACTTGTGAGCATGGCCCAAATTAAGAAACGCACAGACAGCAAGTGTTGGTGAGGGTGCAGAGAAAAGGGACCTTGTGCTCTGTTGGTAGAAATGTACACTGGCCAGCCCCGACGTTATGTAAAACAGAACGGAGGTTTCTCAAAATATTACCAATAGATCTAAGCTATGACCCCGCAAGTCTACTCATAGGCGTCTACCTGAAGAGTGCCAAAGGGGCCTCTGCTCCCCACGTTCACAGCAGCACTTTTTACAATAGCCACATCATGGAGCCAACCTAAGCACCCAAGGGCAGACGAGTGGATTAAGAAGATGTGGTCTATATGCACAGTGGAATACTACTCAGCGATGAAAAAGATGGCTTCTCACAGTTGGCAACAACATGGGTGGAACTGGAGTGGATAAAGAAGTAAGTCAGAAGGAGAAAGAGGAATGTCACGTGATTATACTTGTAGGTGGAACATGAAGAAATAAAAGTCAGTCAAAGCCAAATGAAAAACAATCCCAGAAATATGACTGCAAAGCTGAGGCTACTAGAGGAGCAGGTGGGGGGCTGAGAAGAAAGGGAGGCAGGGCCCCAGCGGACTGAGGTAGAGAAACGTGGGGCCCTTGGAGGGAGGGTGTGGTAGGGCACCCCTGTAGAGGTGGGTCCTGTACTTCTGAAACACACAGTGTTGTAAACCAGCGTTACCTTAATAACAAAAATTCTAAGGAAAAAACTAAGAACTATTGACACGGAGGGTGGCGCCCCTTGGGCCGAGCCCACTGCTCCCACCCGGGCCCACGCTCCTGGCTGCAGCTTCCAGGCCCCTGACCAGACGCCGCATGTGAGTCTCCATGATACAGGGGCCAACTCCTCATAAGAAATCTCTGCAGGAATGTCAATACAAACACATCTCAATGTACAGGTGTCACATGCAAAAGCGTGTGAGGATGCACGTCTGCGTGCAAACACACACCGTCCTGACTCTCCAGGGAGCTCTGGGCGTGCTGGAGGTCACAGCAAACTAAGGGCACAGGCTCACTCCGCTCGACAGGGAGGCCCGCGGTCTGCCGAGTCCCTCATCAGAGACAGCAACAAGTTCCTCCTCAAGGCCGGGTTCCCGGCTCTGCTGTCTGGGGGGCGAGCAGCCTACAGGAAAGCAGGCCTCGCCGCTGGGCTGCTGGGGCGCACTGGCGCCTGCCTACCCCAGCGGTGAGCTCCTCCAGCACTTTCTTTCCCCTGCCCGTCCACCCCCACGGACCCACCCCTAGCGGACCCGGGGCTAGGAGGAGAAGGAGGCAGAGGAATCTGGCACCTCGAAGGTCACTTCTTCGATGAAGACTTTTCTCATCTTCCTTAAACCACTTTCCCCACCGGTGTGCACCCCAACCACCGCCAAAGGGGAACCCTCTCCTCCCCCGACCTCAACGTGACTCTGCGGCACACTGCGCTGCCCACACTGGCGCGAGTCACGGACACCTGCGTGTGGCCCAGTGCCCCTCGCCGCCCGATGGAGCCCCGGGCACTCGCCACGCTCAGCGGCGGGCTTGGACAGGTGGTGGTCGATGCGCCATGCTGGATGTTTAGGGGGCCCGACTAGATTCGAACCTTCCCAGCTACATGGCAGGGGATGCCGGTGTCTGACCGTCCCACACCCTTCCAGGACGCACGCTTGGCGTTTCAACACGGCCACCCACACGGACGGCTCTGCTGTCGAGTGGAATGAACGAGCACATCTTTAGGCCTTGGCCAGTCACGTCCACTAGCTGAGGCCACCTCTCTTCCACCCTTATTCTGCAGTGGAAGACACAGTGTCGACAGACAGCTGCTTAGAATTCACCAGATGCACACAGCCGACTTGCTCTGAATTAAAAAAAAAAATGCACTGCACGCAACAGTCATCAGCTTTCCACCCTCAACAATAGCTACCGCAGTGGGTGGGGGAAACATAATTTTTCAAGAAATTGAAGGCTGGAATGAAAGAATATTGCAAACGTGAGGACTGTGCATGATGTAGCAAAGCTCAGATGCCTGTTAGCTCATATTTCCGTAAAGGAAGGAGCTGTCGTCATACTGTGGGCCTGAGTCCCTACCTCACTTCGCCCTGCGAGAGAAGGACTAGCTATTTTAAGATGTTTGTCTTTGGTCCTGGCCTCACCGGTGTGGGTGACTATTTCATAACAAACACATATGATTCAAGACTTTGATTGAAACAAACGTATGATTATAGTTGTCAACAGAAATACAGTGGATACCGTGTTGATAAACTTGTTAGTCTTTTTTCAGTGATTCTGACCTTAGTTTTAGCCACACGTATATCTGAAGTTTGAGTCTCATTTCACCCGTGACTTCCAGAATCAGTGTTGTTTCTCTTGAGTCCACTCTTCAAACCAAGGGTTTATCAATTATCTATTTTAGGAGAACCAGTTTACATAACTCAAAAGTAAAGGCGTCTAAATGGGCTTTTCATAAATATCATTTGAAATTCAAATCTGGGGGCCTTCCTGGTGGCCTAGGGGTTAAGCCTCAGCACTGTCACCGTGAAGGCCTGAGTTCCATCCCCGGCCAGGGAGCTGACCCACGTGGCGCAGCAGACCTCTCCTGTCTCCCCGCTGCTCAGCAGTGCATTTCAGTGGATCTGCCTGTTCTGCTCCCCACTCTGTCTCTGGTGAGTCCTCTCACCCCTGCAACTCTGGCCTGTACCCCGGTTCTTCTACGCATAAATAAATATTAAAAAGTAAATAAATAAAATAAAATTCAAATCTAAGAAAACTGGCATTTTGTTAGTACAGCTCTTTTTAAGCAAAGATCAAGACTGTTTCCACCCCTCCTCAGGAGGAGCTGACAGTCGGGCAGTTCCCAGCTCTCATCCACCTGAGAGTCCTCAGGCCCCCGGGCGTGAAGCAGGGCAGGACCAGACAGCCAGAAGCTCCGTGCTCGCCTGACTCACTGCTCTGTTTCATTTTCCCTAGTGCATTTGGAGATTTTAGAGAAGGAAGAGTAAAAAATATGGCAGTGAGGTGAAATAAAGATAATTAATAAAAAAGACTTGTTTATTCATGAGGTCTATTATGTAGAAGATAATTTAAAGTTAAAAGCACAGGGCCTCCCCTAGTGGCGCAGCAGTTGAGCGCTGGGCTGCAAAGCTGCCCGTAGCCTCTGCAGCGCCGGTTCAATCCCCGGCCGCCAGCGAGGGTCCCACATGGCGCGCAGACCTCTCCTGCCATGCCCGCTGCTCCCTTCAGCAGTGTCCTTCGGTCCTTCTGCCTGCTCTGCTCCCCGCTCTGGCTCTGGTGAATTCTCTCACCGTCCCATCCTTCTGACTGTACCCAGTGCTTGTATAGATAAATAAATAAATCTTAAAAAAAAAAAAAGATGGAGGGCCTCCCCGGTGGCGCAGCGGTTGAGCGCTGGGCTGCAAAGCTGCCCACAGTCTCTGCAGCTCCGGTTCGATCCCTGGCCACCGGCGAGGGTCCCACATGGCGCACAGACCTCTCCTGCCGCCCGCTGCTCCCCTCAGCAGTGTCCTTCGGTCCTTCTGCCTGCTCTGCTCCCCGCTCTGGCTCTGGTGAATTCTCTCACCCTCCCGCGCGTCTGACTGTACCCAGTTCTTATATAGATAAATAAATAAATCTTAAAAAAAAAAGTTAAAAGCACAGTAATTTTACTTTGAATTCCAAGGAGAAGGTAGACTGTGATGATTATCTAGGACATTTGCTGTGAAATGTTAGTGGAGTCACTCCTAATTTTCAGGACATTTTCTTTCGTTTTGTCTTTTTTTTTTTTAAGTTTCATGGTCTTCTAGATTTATTTCACATTCTCATTTTCTCTGTAACAAAGGCGACCAAGATCAAAAATCTATGAGGCTTGTCATTTATATATGTGCCGGCAGGATGGAACAATTTCCTGGATAATAATGATTTCAGAACAACAGGATTCAGTGTTATCATCTTTCCTTATCCAATAATCTGTTTCAACTGTTGCTGCTCCATTATCCAAAATTTGTTCCATTTATAACTAATGGATGGCAAAGCAGGAGCACTTCATCTCTTTGGATGTCAGAATCAGGCTTTCTTGGGAAGCAGAAAAGGCAGCTCACAGACACTTACCCCGGCAGCGGCTGGCTGACCTCAGAGACAGGCCAGACCGTGGGTTCCAGCCATCTGCCCTGACTTCACACACTGCCCAGGGCTGGCCCACCAACCTCGGCCGGAGAGCAGTCAGCAAACTCGTGAATGTTCTCCTAATCTGATTTTTTTTTTCTATTTTTCTTTTCCAGTTCAAGATCTCACAAGCATTTTAGCGATCATATGCTATTTCCTGCACTGCTTCCTCCTGCCTTCGAATTGGTGGCTCTTCATGGCCACACTCTTGGGACTCTAATTAGGGCTATTCCCAGAGAGAGAAAACGCGCTTACCTGTCTTTCCTGTTGTTGCCAGCGAACTCTGATTCTCGGCTTTAGAAGAAAGGAAAGGAGAGAAAAGGAAATTATTAAAATTAAAAGTTAATGTCAGTTTATTTGTGGGGTTTCTGCCAGACACGATACCTCTCCCACCCCACCGACTTGGGGGAGATCCGGGAAGTTCAGACAGAAACTCAGGGAATTCCTTTAAGGTGAACAGAGTCTAGGGGCGCTTACTGCAGGAAGCCCACTTGCGAGAACAGTGATCACAGGCCACTCCGACAGCCTGGAGTGGACACGGCACCAACACAACTGGCCGTGTGAAAAATACAGAAAATAATTTCGAAACAAACAGAAGACCCATAATCATATTTGGGAAACCTCCATTTGCCTTCTTTATATCTGCAGCTACGGATTCTCAGCATTTCAAACACAACGGGCCCCAAACAGAACTCCCTCGGTCGCCCTTAAATCTGCCTCTCCCCTGCCAGCTTGCACCAGTGATGGCGCCGGGTGCCCTAGGCATGAAACCAAACGTGGTGGCCTTTCTCGCCTTCGCTTTTCTGTACTGCTGCCAGCTTTAGCTTCCAGGTATATTCTGAACATGCCTCGATCCCAAGGTGCTTGCTCCAGGGGCCCCTCCTTCTCTTGACGGAGGCTGGCAGGTCTTCCCAGCCCACGGCCCTGGCCCTGCTCCTCTACTCATCTCCAGCCACTCGGCCACTGGCATCCTGCTGGGCCTTCCTGGGGTAGAGCAGGGTCATGTGGGTCTCCTGCTTGGGCTCCCCTGCACAGTCTCTGCTCTGTGAACTCAGGGCGACTCTGGTTCCTCCCTCCATCCACAACTCGGGATGTCAACACCCCAGGAAGTTCCCCCCCAGCCTCCTGGCTGGCTCCCTGCACGCAAGTCCACCTCCCCGCTCCACTGGCTCAAAAGCACTTTTATCACATCTGTGGGGACAGACGCCGCTCCTGCACTCGGGGGTGAACGCCCAGAGCCTTCCAGTACAAACATCTAGGATGAACCAGTGAGACCAGAACATCACAATAATAAAAATAACAACGACTCGGCCTACCAGTCTGCATTCAGTGCTCAGGGAAGAGGAATGCGCTATTTAAATTGCTAGTTGGAGAATCATGGCTGCTGCCGTGAAAGCAACTTTTGTGGCCAGCTCCCTCCATGACTTGCCGATGTCTGCGAGGGAGATGTTCCTTCCCCCATCTTGCAGCTCTGTGAAAATCAGCTCGAGACGGGGGCACGGCTGTCAGCTAGGCTCGCCGAGTCCAGGGCTCTCCGTGTGTGACAACGCACACGCTTGCCTTCCCGTCCACGGCTCTGAACGCAAAGCTCAGATAATTAATCCCACTTTTGGTAGCTGGTGAAAATACTTTTGAGCATGGCATAATGCTGTTTTTGGAAGATGCGGTTAAAATATTTACCCGCGGCTGGAGGAACAGAAGACAAAGGAAATCGAGTCTGCCCCCCTCCCGCTACCGTCAGGCCCCGCCCCGGCCGCCGCTGGGCCTCACCGAGGAGGAAAAACTTGAGCTCCCCTCAGACAAAACCTTCTGATGACCTTTTATTTCAGGCTTTTTCAGCCTTCAAAAATGGATAATAATTTCAAGGTACAGATTCTATAAAAGAAAAATAATCACGCCTGAAGACACAGCTGAATCTGAAAATAACACGTATTGACTCAAAACCCTAAAATGGAATGTCTCCAGAGCCCCAGGCTTTCATAACAAAGGAATATATTGTTATGATGAGGCAAAATTCTACAAATCATAAATATTTAACCAATACTAGGATATGGACCTTTTCTTCCTGAAATCGAGATGCCATTTTTAAGCCAATCCAGTGTTTTCACGTGTGGGTATGAAAGTTTCAGGCAGACGACGCCGTGGCATGTGGCTAGCATCGCGGGAATTCATGAAAAGTGAAGACATTTGCAATTATTCCTGGTTTTCCTGGGAACTCTCACGATAGACACGTGTTTGAGGAAAGGCCGAGGCCTGTTCTACAGAGGCAGGGCTAAGGCCCGTAGCAAGGCTGCTGCCTGCGCTAACCTGCTATTCTCAGTGGAAGCTGATGGGCCGCGCCCCGGCTAGGGCCTGGCCAGCCCCCCGTTCCTGAGCCGGAGTCTAACGCGAGCACGAGTCTTCAGACGCGCACACGAGCTGCACCGGGAAACTTGCATACGCCTATTTCCACAACTAAAATTGTCTCAACTTTTCACACGGAAAGCTTAACCGACCATGGAACAGCTAATCTGCCGATTATTCTCGGCTAAATATGCTTCGCTTACAAAGGATAGTGCCTGTACGTGCTCCATATGTTTATAAACAGCTGTACACGTGTATGTATTTGGACACACACATCTGTAGTGATCACATATTAGTACGTGTATATTGTTCTTACACGCTCGCCTTTATGTTTATAAAGAGTTGCACGTGGAACAGAATACATCATTAACAGGCTCAAGAGAACCAACGTATCGGTCATTCCCACGTGGAATTCTTCACCGATTGGCTTAAACATCACTCGCTCTGCTCAATCCCGGCGCCTGCACATCCGCCCACACCTGGCGCCGGCTGAGCAAGAGACAGGAGGCTGTTTCTGACTTGGCCAAGCCCTGGCTGTGACTCAGGCCTCGTGGTCCCAAGGCGCCCCTCCATCGCCCAGGTGATGGCCCAGCTAATCAGGCATGTTCCGAGGCGCCTCCGGCCCCTGGAGCAGAGCCGCGTGGCTCACAGAAGAGACCATGGGACTGGGCGGTCGGTGACTGCGGCTTCGGGGGGCGCGGGACAGCTTGCGCGGGAGAGCCGGGCGCAGCGCTGGAGGGGTGTTCATGGGACTGCGGTCATTTTCTTGTCTGTCGTCTTTCCATGTGCTTGATGATTTCTGCGAGGAAGTTTCAAACTAGATGGCTGCGAATATGTCATCACCGTCCGAGCCGGCGGCTGGTCTAGATTCAGTTTCCAAAGAGCAAGCCTGGCGGAGGCTCGGACTAGGGCAGGTGCACCAGCGAGGGCTCCCCCGCCCGGGGTCTCCCCGGGGCTGCTCTGTGGACCCCTGCACCAGCCGTGGCCTGTGGCCCAGGCTCCCCGAGCCGACCCCTTCCTTGTGCAGGAACCACAACCGCCGGCGGCGCCTGGGTTGCCAGCATTATTAACAAGGTGATAGCGCATTTGCGAAGCATTTACCTGCAGTCTCCGCTGCAAGCTTCGTATGTTTCATCCTCCCGAGCCCCACGCGAGGGCCGTGGGCTGCCATCTCGGGGCTGCGTGAGGCGGGCAGATGGCACAGAGGCGAGAGGCCCAGCACGCACAGGCCTGTGCCGCTCTGAACCCAAGCGCCTGACCTCAGGACCGGCTCCGAGCCCAGCCCGGCTCCCCTGGCACAGCCGCAGCGCCGGCTTGTACTTCAGCCTGGACCCCGGCGGGCAGCACTCAGCTGGGGAGCGTCCTGCTCACTCTCCAGGCACCACCTCAGCTCCATGTGCACTTGGGTAAGAGATGCAAAAGGAACGTAGGCGAGAGAATTCACCCCGTTTACAGGTTGTGAACCCCAACTTCATATGTGGCTGGCGGCTGAGCGACGCTGTGCATTGACCCACGCAGACCCCCGGTGGGGCTGTGACAGCCGCGGCAGCAGGCCGTCCAGTCCCTCTGGTACGCTGTGGCCTTCACGCCCGCGGCTGGTCACTTGGGTCTTGTAGTGCAGATTTCCAGAAAGGAAATTTGATCGGCCCGGCATTTTCTTTCTTTTTGTTTGTAGACAAGAGGCTATAAAGAAATTTAGCACCGAATTCACTTGTGATAAGTCTGCAACTCTGCCATTCTTAGCACATTTAGAGAGCTGCTCAACCATCACCACAGTTAATTCAGCTTTAGAATTCACGCCTCGACACAGAAAATGCCCTTGAGAGTTTTTCAAAGTCCATCCTGGTCCCACCACCATGACCTGGAGACACTGCTGCCTGTGCCCCTCCCCAGGCGGTGCGGACAGTGTTTTCCACACGCGGCGGGGGGCACGCTGTGTGGGGAAAGGGTCTTCTACTGGGCTAATGTCTGGGTTTTTGACCGTCACAGCCGGTGTCGTGCTATTAAACAAGCGAGAGAGTTGAACGGCATTTTCCATGTGTGGCTCTCCTATGTTCTGGAATATTCAAAATGCATTCCACGTGGAGGAACCAGCAGCTATTCCACTGCATGAGTTAATGGCTGTGAGGACAATTTCCCGCCTTTGACGGTCAGGAATAAAGCTGCTGTGAACATTCTTTATCTCAATAACACCCTGTGGCGACCGCTGCTGAAATAGCCTCACGAGATAGCTTCGGAGTAAGTTCTGGAATTGGCTTGTGTGAGGCCCCCAACGTTGGGCTTTGTTTTGTCTATTCTAGGACTTTTTCATGACCATATATATTTTAGGATCAGTGCATCAATTTCTAAAAAAAAAAAAAAATACTTGCTGATATTTTGACAAGGGTTGCGTTGAATATTTAGAATTGTTGATGTTAAAATATTGAGTTTTCTAGCCGATAAGCATGTGATGTCTTCATTTACTAAGATGTTTAATTTCTCACTGAGATGTTTTGTAGTTCAGTGAACAAATCTCATACTTGTTTTGTTAAATTTATTCCTAAATTTTCATTTTATTCTTTCTGATGCTGTTGTAAATGGAATTACTTCTCTGATTTACTTTGGGATTGCCACTGCGAACACCGAAATATGGTTTATCTTTGTAGGCTTTGTGTCCTGTGATATGAGCCGCTTGTTAGGGACAGTAGTTTTATTGTAGTTTTTGGGTTTTTTTTTTTTTTTGCATTTTCTAATGACAATACAGTCTGCTGAGAAAGCTTTATATCTTCTACTCCAGTCTGGATAAAAGGATCCACCCACCCATCCACCCAACCGTCTGATTAATCTTATTACACTTTTCCGAGCTTCTGGATGTAATTTTGAAGAGAACTGGTGAGACTGGATACCTCTGCGGCCCAGATGAGAAGAGGAAAGCCTTAAGTTTTTCATTACTAAAGTTGATGACTGCAATTTTTCGTGGATTTTTAAAAGTCAGCTGGAGGAAGTTCCATGTTGTTGCTAGTTTGCTTCGAGTTCTAGTTGTGAGTAGGTGCAAAATGCTTTGGAACGCTTCCTCTGCTCTGACTGACTCTGCTCCTGCGGTTATTACATTACCTGATTTTAATGTGTTCACACCAGCCTGCCTTCCAGGAGAAACCCTCCTTGTCGTGCTTTATATTCCCTTTCCTATATTAGTAAATTTGGTTTGTTCATATTTCCTGACGGGCAGCCGCATCTATGACCATGGAGGACGCTGATCCGCAGTTTCCTTTTCTTCCCTCTTTTCATTCTTTCCGAGGGATCCAGTTATCTTTGTAGTATCAGGCAGCACTGGCCTCAGCCGTGCCTGGAATTCCTCTCCCCTCTTCATCCCAAGGCGTTTGAGAAGATGGGTATCATTTCTTGAAAATATTTTACCAAACTCACAGCTGAAGTCATCATGCTTGGCGTCTTCTTTAGGGGAACACGTTGCATTTCTAACGCAACATCATTAGTTGTCCTCGGTCTTGTCAGGCTACCTCTCTTCTTGAGTTAGTTTTAGCAATTGGCTTCTTTATTTTCCCATTTCATCAAAGTTGTGTCATTTGCAGGCCGAGCTCAAGCTCACATTTTTGTGCCGGGTGACATGGCAGATTGCCGTCCAGGCGTGCACTGATCCTCCTTGGTACCCGCCCACTTGTGGCCACGAGGGAGAGAGCTCCACTCTACTCGGCACAATTGCCGAATAGTTGTCTGATCTGGAGGAGGCCGGAGAGCACAGAGGCGGGGCACGGCTCTCTGGTCGCCGTGGGCTAGAAAATGTGCTGAGTCTCGTTCTGTCCAATACCCTAGCACAACATTTGGAGCAAATTCTTATACTTACTCTTGGCCTGGACACTTTGTGATGTTGAAACAGCATTTGACAGCGGAAGACTCGTCGCTGCGGGTGAGTGCTGAGGCGTGGGGGACGCCTTCGTGACTCCAGAGGTTGCGGCTCCTGTTGGGTAAGAAGAAAGAGAAGCCGTCAGGGCGTCATCCTCAATTAGTCTCATTACTGCTCATAGTAAAATCCAGCAACAACCAGAATAGCAGTTACTGAGTCTCCTGCTTATAAAACCAAGCAAGGACCCAAAAGTAGAAAGAACCCACATGACCATCAAGTCACAAAGAGGTACAATGGGATGTGCTCATGCAGCGCAGCATCTCTGTCGTGAAACGGTTGGCGCTGGAGGGGCGACGCCGGTGAAATAAGTCAGAAGGAAAATGACAAATACCAGATGGTTTCACCATATGCAGCGAATAAAGAAGCTGCCAGGGTTGGGCAAACTCAAAGCAGGCCCAAGCCCCAGCAAGCTAACTGCAGATCAGAGGCGCGGAGGGCGGGGGGACGGGGCAGGGCCCTGGCACGTGCGGAGGGCCCCGGGCGCCTCGGTGGCGGGTGCGTGTGCTCAGTTATTCTCAGGGGCGGGTCCTGTGCCTCCGAATCATCTGCATGTTGTGACCCAGCGTCACCTGAATTTCCAGGAAAGAAAGAGCTCAGACACATATTAGCAGTGAGCCTGAGAGCATCGTGTGCAGCCAGAGCAGCCGGGCACAGATACTCTGTCACGCGACTCTGTGTATGTGGCCTTGCTAGAACAAGAACTCCGCAGAGACGGGAAGGTGGTCGTGGGTCCCAGGGACTGTGGGCAGGGGCCGGGGGCGGTCGGTACCAGGGACCACGTTTCTTTGGGGAGTGAAGGAAATTGGGCAGTGGCGAGGGTTGCGCAATCTCGTGACAGACGAAAACCATGGCAACAAACTGTAACAGGGTCCCCGCTTGGGCGTACTGATCACACACACAAAGGAAAACGCTGTCACCCACCTGTCCCACTAACGGCTGGGCTGACTGAAGGACGGGCTGTGAGCTGAGAGGCGGTGGAGAGTTCCTTCGCCGTGGTTCCTACTTTGATAAGAGAGTTGACACTGTTATTATTAATCACAATTTCATTTCACCCGTCGAGGGATAGATGAAAGCCAGTCAAATCCGGAAGCAGCCTGGCATCCCGCAGCAGAGGCTCTGGGGAAGCTTTTGTGCAACGTTAATTTTTCCATGTGTTAGTTTTGTCCAAAGTGAGGAGTGCAAGTTCTGCGCCCTCGGTGGGCCGATGAACACACACAGACACACACATGTACACACACACACTCTCTCTCTCTCTCTCTCTCTCTCTCTCTCTCTCTCTCGCATGGAAGCCCCCCAAAGCAAACATTCACTGCGATAAACCTTTAAACATGCAAAAATACATAAGAAAAACAAATGATTTCAATTACTCTATTTTTCCAGTGGGGAAAACGGCCTGCTCAGCAGGACCCGGGGGCAGCACACCTTTTGTTTTCAAAATTACATTTCATTTTCTTGATTAGTGGACACACTGAAGCTTCCGAGGAAATCTAAGTCATAAAGACACTTGCAAACCCCTGATCCTTCAGTCTGTTCCCTGAAGAACACGAGCTCTCCTCTGGACAAGGCCTTCCAGACTCCGGGCCCTCAGCTCTTCGTCCTGCCCGCCACGGGTTCAGGCATAACTCCTGGCAGGCTGAGGGCCGGCAGGTGCTGCTTTAGGCAGGTGGCCGGGGCAGGAAGGAAGGGCCAGGGCAGAGCCACGGGCGATGGGCAGGTTCCCTGGTGCAAGAACATGCTAAGGGGTCCTTGTGCCAGGCACAGCCCATCTTTACCACGTGACGTTACATAAACTCTTGAGTAAATGAAGTAGTCAATAATGATTAAAAGCAATACTTCAAAGTAGTTAAAAAAGAAATAGGCTGACTTGAATATGAATGTCAAGACTAGCATAACTACATGTCTATTAAATCATTTTGGGCCAACAGATGCTCATGAGGTTAAATCTGAATCAGGACATCCCTGTTCTACACACTGTCGCACTGTTCAGCAAAATAGTATTCATAACACTTTCCCAGAGAACAGTTTGGAACTGTGTTTAATTACCATTTAGGATAAAGTTTTCAAGAAAATGTCTAACTTGCAAAGATTTCATATCTTGTGAGGATAAACTGAAAGAAAATGTCAATTCTGTCACTTTGAAATGCCGCGAAGAGGAAGAAAGAAGAAAACATGTGCAAGATCTCCCCGGTCATCATCCGCGCTCAGACCCAGCCAGGCCTGCAGGGCAGGGAGAAAACCATCGCCAATCAGAATCAGAAACATACAGAGGGAGCCGGAGCCCGAGCCCAGTTCTTCCCAGGAATGCGGGAACGGTTCAGGAATGCCCTAAAGCCTGTTCTTTACCACTTTACTTCCGTGTCTAGGGAGACGTGCCCTGGGGCGCCCCGCAGCTGTGCCGTCCCTTGGGACAAGTGGCCACTGCTGTCTCCTCCGCTCACCTCAGTTGACATCAATGTTCATTTAGCAGCAGACATTTTTATTTTATTTATTTATTTTTTAAAGATCTATTTATTTATGCATGCGAGAGCTGGGGTGCAGGCCAGAGGGGGGTGTGTGTGTGTGGGGGGATGAGAGGACTCACCAGAGACAGAGTAGGGAGCAGAACAGGTGGGTTCCCTGAAACCCACGGCTGAGGGGAGCAGCGGGGGGGGGGGGCAGGCGGGGTCTGCCGCGCCCTGTGGGTAGCTCCCTGGCCGGCCGGGGATTGAACTCGTGCCGCAGAGGCTGTGGCTCGCCCCACAGTGCGGTGCTTCACCCCCTGCGCCCCCGGGGAGCCCCTAGTGTCAGATATTTCTAGTATCAGAGCTCAGAACTTTTTATTCCCGCTGATAATTCAGTCATTCAAATATTTAACTGTTGAATGTTTTACAAGTCGAGTGGGGCCCCCAGCGGGGGCGCGACTCCGCCCGGGGCTTCGCGTGAAATGGGCGCTCCGACCCGCCTGCGAGGGGGCCCCTCTTTCTGGGGCGCCGTCGAGCGGCGTCTGGGGTGTCGCGGCGCCCCAGGCGGGGACTTGGGGTGGGCGCGGCCCCGCGGCCCGGAGGCGGCTGTCGGGGTGGCCGCGCCCCAGGCTCGCTGCCCGCACCCCCCGCGCCCGCGCCCCCGCGGCCCGGCCTCTGCGCAGGGTCACCCCGCGGCGCCCCGGGGACGGGGGGGGGAGCCCGCCGGGCGCCGGGGCCGCTGCCTCGGGGTGAGCACGGGCCGGGGGCGCCGTCCCCCAAGGCCCAGCGGCCCGGACCCGCCACAGCGGCGCGGCCCTGGCTTCCCGCCGGCCGGGGGGCTCCCGGGGTGCGCGCTGCGAGGGGGGCGCCAGGGGTGCTTGGGCTGCGGGCGGGTCGCCGGAGGGGACACCCCAGCGCCTGCGCCACCGGCCGCGGCCGCCCCGACAGCTGCGCGGGGCCCGGCGCCCGGGTGGCCCGGACCGTCCTCCTCGGGCCGCAGCGCCGGGAGGCGCCGCAACGGGTCACCCCGCACAGCCGGGGCGGGGAGTGTCACCACAGCGGCCCGTGTTCGCTGCGGTTTTCTGTGCCCGAGCTTCAAAGCAGTGGAGGGGGCCTCCGGGGCGCAGGGGCGCAGCCCAGCTCTGTGGGGCTGTCCCGGCCTCCGCGGCCCAGCGCCGTCCCCCAGGGAGCGGCCCAGGGGCGCGCTGACCCCGTCTCCCCTGCTCCCTCAGCCGCGGGTGTCAGCCGATCCGCCTGTTCTGTCCCCGCTCTGTCTCTGGGGCGTCCTCTCACCCCCCCCGGCCTGCACCCCGGCTCTTGGATGCATAAATACATAAAGTAAATCTTTAAAAGAAACCCAAAATGGTGAAGTCGCATGGACCTCGATGACAACAGGTTTAAGACACCAGTTCCCCCTGTGGTTCAGGTACACGCGAGCGACTAGTTCTATGTGTGGATGCCAGCTGCGTCTCCCTGGGGTTGCCCTACCTGCCGCGGGGGCTCCGGAGGGCCGCGTGGAGCCAGGATGGGGCAGCGGCGATGTGGCGCCTGACCCAGGCATCTCTGTTGCCCGCAGAGTGGGTGGCACTGGCGCGGGAGTGGTTTTGTTCTCAGCCTCTGGAAAAGGAATTGTGGGGAAGCGGTTGCATTAAAATGGGCATCTATTCCGTCAGCCAACAGAGCGTCGAAGCAAAGCAAACTGCAGGCGTGCGGAAAACTGCAGGGCCCAGGCAGCCCCGGAGCCCGGGGAATTCCCTCTCCAGGGTGGGGGTCCAGCCTCCGGCTCCCGCCCATGCACCCGCTCAGTGTTCTCATCACGGCGGGCTCAAGGAGGCAGCCGGTGGGCAGCCCGCAGCTCGCAGACCAGCGGGTCCTGCCCAAGCTGCCGAGGAGAAGTGCCAATTTGGAATTCAACAGTTTTGAAGGCAGCTCCATAAGCCTGTCCCGGTGAGGTGCCTGAGGACACGCTCGCCCGGGCACTGGCGCTCACCCTGGTGCTGTGCCCGCGGGTCGCTGGGCCAGAGCGTGGCCGTGCCGGGACACCCCCGTGCCCGGAGGTCCTGTCTCCTCTCACCCTCCCTCCCGCCTGCCCCCTCCTCCCTCGCTCTCTAACGAACACATTTTTAAAAAATTCGATAGTGACGCTCTGCTTCCGTTTTTGGTGACGGAGCCGTTATGAATCTGTGTTTTCAGATGAGTTGCTCCTCGAAATCGTAGCCACCGAAGGCACAGAAATCAGGGCACTGTATTGTCACCCACCCTGCAGATTTGTTTCAATCATTCTTTTTCGGCAGTGGAACGTCGATATTTAATCCTTAAGGCCACGTCGAAACAGTGACGTCTTCTCAAAGATGCCGCCTCCGAGACGCACCCGCCCCTGCTGCGCCTGGCACTTCACTGCAAGGCCCCTCCTGAAGCAGGCGACCGTCGCGTCCAGTCTCGAGGTGCAGGCGCTCATCCCCCCCAGAGCCAACGGCAGGTGGCGTGGGAAGCTGCGGGCCCCACCGCAGGCGGCTCTCCCACGCGTTTCTCCGGGAACAGGGAGGCCACCAGGATTCACCCACACCCCCAGGTCAGGGCGGGGCGCACAGCAGCCCCAGTGGGCTGTCCGCAGCTCTGTGACCCCTGGCCAGTCCCTCTCGTGGGTTCATGGGGCTGTTGGCTTGTACCTGGGGACATGTGAGCCCTGAAGGGACAAGAATGACCGCTCCTGGGACACCGGGGGCGTGGCGTGGCCTGGACGTGCCTCCCAGGGGCCGGCCAGCCACAGCTGACAGATCCTGAAGACAGAGCTCGGAGAGGAACCTTCTGGAACACTCTGCTTTGTGACTGACTTTTCCTCATAAAAGTTTCATAAGATGAACCGCTCTGCACAGGTGAGCTGATTTCTCTATGAAGGGCCCGCATTTAACAGCTCGGCAGCTTCCTGTCACCTCCGTGCGTGACGACGCCTGTTCTTCCGTGACAACCGCGTGTCCAAAAATAGCCCATTGTGTTTGGAGCTGGAGATCTGCCTGCATGTGAGTCCTCACGTCCTCTCATCTGCTCTGACTCTCGCCTGCTCGAAATTTAAAGGAAACCGCTCCAGCTGATGTAAAATGTTCTTCAATTTTATGGGTTGAAAGGCTGTGTTTTTAGTCATAAAGGGGGAAAGTGAAACTACAAAAATTTACTTGTTTTCCAAGAGGCCAAATATCGTCTTCTCTTGCCCTGCCCCGTTATTTGAAGGGTCCAAAAAGCGTCACCAGCGCACTTTCCATCAGAGGCAGCGCGTGAACAACGTTCCCCTCCAGGGACGCCGCGTGATTTTCCACGACCGAGGAGACGCGGCTGAACGGCTGTCTGCGGGGCTCAGCCTGCGGGGCGGGCGAGGGCGCAGAGCGGGGGGGGGCTGCGGGGCCTCGTGTCCCCGCCCCTCTTTTGTGACCGTTTCCTCCACGTGGTCTGGCTTAGGCCACAGCGCTCGCCCCGCGCTCTGGTCCCCGGGGTCTCCGCGGCCGGGGAGCTCTCCCTCCTCCAAGCCGTCGCCAGCCCCCAGGACAGCGAACGCCAGGACCGCATGTGAGGGGCGGGCGGTACCCGGCGCTGGCCAGCCGTGCCGCCCTGTCTCCGCTGGCCGCCCTCTCATTCGGGAGCGCCGCCGAGCAAATCAACAGAATCTGCCACGGGAAGGTTCTCTCGTATCTGGTCCTTCACGAGGACATGAGGCTGACGCGACTTGACGGAAGACATTCAGGGCAGTTGGCGTCCACCGTGCTGGCGGGTGGCTGGGCGGGCGCGGCCGGCTGGCGAGGGTGGCTTTCCTTAGTGGCCTTTTGTTGTATTTCACACGTGTCCTGGATTTCGGGCAGGGTAGCAAAAGAGTATTTTTCTTTTTGTTTTTGTTGTGGAGAAAAGCAAGAGAGATGTGGTGAAGACATTGTGGTGGCGCCAAACCACCCATCACCTCGGCCCGTCAGAGGACACCGTGCACGACGGGAGCTGCCTGGGCGTGACGTGCGGCTCGCCGTCCAGCGTCCCCCGCGAAAGCAAGGCTTTCACCTGCACACACGCCGCCCTGCGGAGGGAAGGGTCATGGAGTGTGCGAGGGCAGGGCGCGGGGTGCTGCTGAGCGGGGTGAGGCCGAGCCCCCGAGCAGTCACTTGCCTCCTACAGACCTCGCCCCCGCCGCCGCTCCGCTCACCGTGACGGAGGCTGCCCTGCGGGGCTTGGCGCGGACCCTGAAGGACGCTGCGCGGTGAGAGGCCTGAGGAGCGGCGGGCGTCGCGGTGGCTCTCAGGGGTGTCCCATGAAAGCCTTAGTAAGACGGCGTCCATGGGGGATCCCGCCACGGCTGAAATGGAGGCGAAATGGCTCACTTCCTCTCGCTCCCCGGGCCACAGAGAGAAGAAAAGACTCGCCCGACTTCCTCTTTGACACTCGCGTTCACAGGCGCGGCCTGAGCAGGGCAGGGACAGCCGGGGCCGGGCTGAGCCCCAGGGCCCTGGGCCAGAGACGCAAGGCCGGAGCGGCCGCCTCCTGGGGCGAGGCCCCGGCAGGGTGAGGTCTGGCGGGGGCAGCCGCCCTGGCGGCACTGCTGGGAGGCAGGGAGGAAGGACCGTCCGCAGGGCTCCTGCATCCGTGCCCGCCTCGGTGTCGTCCTGCCCCCGGGGAAGTCGCGACTGCGCAGACCCGCTGCCGTCTGCAAACTGAGGTAGCGTCTGTCGTGTGATCCCAGCACACGCTAGTGAGGCTGACCGCCCAGTGGCTCCTGTCCCCGCGCTGACTTAGTTATCAGGGGAGGTAGGTCAGTTCTTTCTACGTAGATGGGACCCTGATCTCCAGGAAGCTTCCAGACTACTCGCCTTGTAGGTCGTAGTGCAGCCAAAACAGTCAAATTCATTAGTTTGCTGCGGCTTCACAGGACAGTGCAGAGCCGGGCGGCGCTTGAGCTCTCATCCCCGCAGATTCTCAGGGGCATCCCGAGGCACCTGCAGCCCATGCGCCCCAGTGAGCTCACACGCGCAAGCCCAGCGCAGGACCCCGGCACCCCCTCTCTGGCTCTGTGTCCCCTCCGCCCTCCTGCAGGCGGGAAGGGCCCTGACCCGCCCGTCAGGGGCACCAGGCGCCCCCACAAGAACAGGAGGCACGCGTCTGCCCCTGACTGCAGAGACTGACTTTTCTTTTATGAATTATTTTATTTTACATAATTCTTTCAGCATTTTTCATTTTTGCACAACGTATGCATTTTCATCCTGGTTCTATATCACCAGAGACTGGCTTTTAAGGGGTGTAGTTCCGCGATTATCTCACAGGATAGAGTGCACCACCAGAGAGCAAAAGCAAAAGTAAACAAACGCAGCGAGGCAGCGGGAGCAGAGGTGTGGGAGAGAGAGGTGTGAAGTGAGGGCACCCACCGCGGCTGAACAATTCGTGCTGCTTTATCTTCGAATCTTACTTGCAAAGGGAAAATTTTCCTTTAAATAGGACATTTTTCTTGCCTACTCTGAACTTTTGCTCCTGCTTTCTCTCATTTGCTTTATTTAAGAAAACTCACGGAGGACACGGGGGCTATTTCTTTCCTTACAGTTCAGCTGAGCGGCGCCAGCTTGAAGGCTCATCCATTTAGCTCCATCCGCAGCTAGAACTTCTCTGCGGGATTCTGCACACACGATTCTTTTTTTTTAAGATTTATTTATTTTTGCATGCAAGAACTGGGGTATAGGTCAGAGGTGTGCGGGGTGAGATGACTCACCAGAGACAGAGCGGGGAGCAGAACAGACAGACTGACTGAAATCTGCTGCTGAGGGGAGCAGCGGGCGAGACAGGAGAGGTCTGCTGCGCCATGTGGGTTAGCTCCCTGGCCAGGGATCGAACTCATGCTGCAGTGGCTGCAGACAGCTGCATAGGTTGCATCTAACTTAACCCCTTGTGCCATCAGGGAGGCCCTGCACACTCGATTCTCACACATGCAGACCAGCACTTCATCAAGCCTCCCCTTCCTGGAACACAGACCACGCCTGAAGGCCTGCCACGTCTGGGCTGGGCCTGAGCATGGCCCAGTGGCCAGGCCTTCCCTTATCATCCAAACAATTCGCTCGCAGCTTGTCCTCATTTCACTAATGTCCAATGTGCTTTGCAAGTATTTGCTTCCAGCTGTAAATGTCAGCTTTTCTTAGTGTTCCCAGGGGTATATTTGTGTGGAGAAAAGGTTTTCAGGGGTCAACTTAGTTCTGGAAGATAACATTCAGCTTTTTCAGATTCACAGAATAAAAAGTGGATTTCTCCCTGAAGCTTTCAAGCTGAATCTACAAAGGTCATCACTCCATGTATTAATACAGAGAATGGAGTGCTCACCTTTGTGTCTTGGTAACATTTAATTCCATGAATATATTTAGTTAATTAAACTCCCCTGCATATTTAAAACTATTCATACATTGGAAACAGTCCCGCGGGCCAGTTTGTCCACCTTTTCTAGTCTGGCGGTGAGAAAAGCCCTTGGCAAAAAGCAGCCTGTCAGGTCACAATTAAGGCGCAAATTCGACATTGCCGGGCGCTGAAGTCAGGTGCGTCACCACCGTGGACGGACGCGACAGGAGACTACACGGCAGGCGATTGGCTCGCCAGCGCCTCAGGAA